TTTTTAACAGACAAGGTCTTGCTCTGTTGCCCAGGCTGGAGTGCAACAGCATCATTATAGCTCACTGCAGCCTTGAACAGGATCCTGGGATCAAGTGACCCTCCTGTCTCAGCCTCTCAAAGTAGCTGGGACTACAGGTATGAGCCACCGTGCTTGGCTTTTTTTTTTTTTTAAAGAGACAGTGACTTACTACATTGTCCAGGCTGGTCTCAAATAACTGGCCTCCTGCAATTCTCCCACCTTGGCCTCTCAGAGTGTTATGGTGACAGCCCCTGCACACAGCCTGTGCTCTTCCCTTCTTTATGTAGAGCTGAGTTACTGATCTCTACTATTTTCTCTCTAAAGAACTTTGAACATTTTTTGCAAGGCAGGTCTACGGGCAACAAATTTTCTGAATTTTTGCCTGGGAAAGTCTACTTTTCCTTCACTTTTAAAAGATAATTTCACAGGGTACAGACTTCTAGGTTGATGAGATTTTTTTCCTCTCAATACTTTAAATATTTCACTCCATTCTTCTTGCTTTCATGGTTTTTGAGGAGAAGTTGAATATAATTTTTATCTTTGATCTTCTATAGGGAAGGTGATTATTACTCTGGCTTCTTTGGTTTTTTTAATCTTTTGTCATAGTTTGAAAATTATATGCCCAAGTATAGTTTATTTTTGTTTTGTTTTCATCATTGTTGTTTTTACATTTTTCCTGCTTGGTGTTTGAGCTTCCTGAATCTATGGTTTGCTGTCTGGCATTAATCTGAGAAAATTCAGCAATTTTTGTTACAAATACTTCTTCTGTTTCTCTTTCTTCTCCTTGTATCATAGTTACGCATATTTTACGCCTTCTGTAGTTGTCCCATAGTGCTTGGATACTCTGTTCTTTTTTGCTTTTCAGTTCTAGAGGTTGGAGTTTTATATTTCCCTTCCTCCAGGTCAGAAGGCTCTGATAAAGCCCCAGTAGGTTAGTCTCTAGATAACTAGCTTCTCTGGAAGGCAGAACAAGTGAAGGTTGCTCCTGCATATTTAAAAATGATTCATTTTCTCCTTCCCCTATAGTAAGTATGAGGGGATTTTTCTCTGATATTTACTTCAAGGACCTGGTTGAGCTTCTGATGGTACAACTCACAAAAGCACGGGTCCATGTGCATAAGCCTCCTAGGGGGTTTAACTCTCAGGCTTGGCCACACCTCACTGCAGCAAGTTGTCAATTACAGTTAAGATATTTCAATTCCAGTGCAGTTTCCTTGGAGCATTCTGTTCCGGCATATGATGGTTCTCCGCTATTTTTTGCCTGTCCATCCAATCTGGGGACAGCGGCTTCTGCAACCTCATGTCTCCTGCACGTTTAAGAAGAGTTGCTGATTTTTCAGTTTGCCCAGCTTTTTGCTTGTGAGGAAGAAATGACAATTCCCAAGATCACCAGGTATAGAACCTGAAGCTCCCTATCTCCATCATAGTAAAAAGTGTCTTCTTTTCCTCTGGCTCAAGTATTAAAATATTTTCTTTTAGTTCTTTGACACATTTTCTTTTGATTGCCTGAATATTTATAATTGTAGATTTTAAAACTCTGTCTTCTGCTATATCAGATATTTAGACCAGGGCCTTTCAACAGAATTATGAGAGTCCTATATAGAACTTTAAACCTTCTTTGTAGCCTCATATATATAAATGTATAAACAGGTACAATTAATTTTACTAATATATTTTTAACTCAAAATGCTCATACTATACTTTCAATAAAATAAAAATATTTTCTATTTTTCATATTAACGGATATGTCTTTCACACTCATAGTGAATTCAATTCAGACCAGGCGCACTTCCTGTGCTCAGCCGCCGCATGTGATGAGTGGTGACAGATCTAGTGTGGTGGACTCCATCTTGCACAGTGTGTGTGCACATTTTACTGCCTTTTTTCTTGACCACAGATTGTACCTTCTGTCACCTCCTGTTTCTCTGTATATGCAGTGATTACTTGCTGAATATTACACATTGGAAAACATGTCGAGTATATTCAGGATCCCATAACCTTCCTCTGAAGCTTTCAGCTCTTGTTTTAGCAGGCAGTGCAAGCACTGCTGGGTCATCGTGACCATGGGCAGGCTTTGACTGATTCGTTGCTAGTGTGGATCTGTGGAGAGCTCCGGTCCTGCACCCACTCCAATCTCCACCTCCTGGACCTGGTAGGGTGGCCGTGCTTAGCTCACACCTAAGCTCTCCGTGCATTGTCTGCAAGTGTTCTCCATGGAGAGAGCAAGTGCACTATGCATTCATCTCATTCATTCTCCTGCTCTCAGGTTCTGGCTTACACAGTTGTGGTCCACAGACTGAAAACAGCCATCTCATTTGTTTCGTGCAGTTTTACAACTGTTTACAGCAGATGTGTGATTTGGGTCCCTTTCATTTCATCACAGCTAGAAGCAGAAGTTTTGGTAAATTATTCTTGTATCTTCACATGTGAAAACTAAAGGAACGTTTCATCCATAGAATATTAGCATTGCAACAATCCTAATGAGATTTCCTCCAGAAACTATGATCCTGGTCAGCAACCAGTCATTTCACAGAGAGAAGATAAACTTCAAGAATATTCTCTGAACAGCAATGAAACTGAGGTAAGATCTAACTACTGTTACCAACAACCAAGAAAAATAGATCAGAGGAAATGCAGCTAAGATTTCATTGAAGTAAGCATGATAATAAACATGCAGACTACCACTAAGCACAAAACAGGCTGGGAGTAAAAAATTTTTATGATATTGATTTATGATTGTACACAACTGCCCCATGTGATATTACTAGGACTCCTTATGAAAATTTACAAACTGTGTTTTATGGTTAACATAAAAATGCTAATCAAATAAATGCAAATATTTCACAAAAACATTTCAAATATACTTTTATATTTTGCAAAGACATCTGCATAATAAGGTTTTTCATCACACATGACCCAGTAACATTTCCCAGTGGCTGGATTCAATATGAGAAATAAGCATAAACACAAATAATTGCACCGCTTCTTCCATTTTAAACTCATTTCTCTTATATAAAGTGGTCAAGAAAAATACCTATTGCCTTAAATACTGGCTAGTGCCAAAAATTTGGTTTAAAATTTTTTAAAACTTTTAAGTCCATTTTGTTAGTTACACAAAGAACGCATACAAATAAAATTTTTACCATAGGTTTTGGTATATTCTAACCATAAACAAACAGGATTAAGCATATTATTTTTTTTGAGACAGGGTCTTGCTCTGTTGTCCAGGCTGGAGTGCAGCAGCACAATCATGGCTCACTGTAGTCTCAACCTTCCTCCCAAGTGATCCTCCCACATCAGCCTCCTGAGCAGCTGGGTCTACAGGCACACACAACTATGCCTGGCTGATTTCTGTATTGTTTGTAGAGATGGGGCTTTGGAATGTTGCCGAGGCTGGTCTCAAACACTGGGGCTCAAGCAATCTGCCTGCCTCGGCTTCCCAAAGTGCTAGGGTTAGAAGCGTGAGCCACCACACCCAGCCTAATCATTTTTAAACGGTCTCTAAGTATTTATTATTATTTTCTCATTGAGATGGGGGTCTCACTCTGTTGCCCAGGGTGAAGTGGAGTGGTGCTGCCTCAGCTCACTGCAACCTCTGCCTACAGGGCTCAAGTGATTCTTCTACCTCAGCCTTCCAAGTAGCTGAGACTACAGGTATCCGCCACCATGCCCAGCTAATTTTTTGTACTTTTGGTGGAGAAAAAATGGTACATTTTGCCATGTTGTCCAGGCCGGTCTTGAACTTCTGGGCTCAAGCCATTCACCTACCCTGGACTCCTACAGGGCAGGCGTTACAGGCATTAGCCACCATCCCTAGTCCCTAATTAGGTGCTGCAATTTAATATTAAAATAAAGAAAGGGAGGAGCCCAAGGGAGCATGTTGGCAGAAAGAGCTCCCTTGCCAACAACCTTGCTAGCATGGCATTCACTTCCTTGCCTGCTGGCACTGTGTTCTTCAGATGAACATGTATCTGTAAATACAACATAAAAACACCATAGGAACACCACGTCTCTACAAAAAATTAAGAATTAGCTGGGTGTGGTGGCATGCACCTGTGGTCCCAGCTGCTTGAGGGGCTTGAGCCCAGGTGGTCACAGCTGCAGTGAGCGACGAGCTGCGATCACGCCACTGAATTCCAAACTTGGCGATGGAGCAAGACCTTGTCTCAAAACAAACAAAAAACAGCGAAAACTCAAAATGGTGCACTCTAAGTTCTGTCCTATAAATCTCCGTACCTTCACTTGTAAAGGCACAAAAAGGTGACTACTCAGGAGCTGTCTGGAATAATGTGGCATATCCTCGACCTCAGTTCTGATTTGAATCATGTCCTGCTGTCTCACTGCTTGCCAAGACCGAGCTAAACTTCAAAACATAAAAATACTCCCATAAACGTTGTACTTTTTCAACTATTCACATTGTACCTTAAGTTTCTCTTGTAGTGGAAAAAAATGGTGGCATTTAAAGCGGCATGTAGCTTCAAAGTGGTATGGGAGGTGATTTAGGTCCTTCAAGAAGACAAGCTTGCCACAATGACATGAACAATGCTGGAATCAAAATCACAGAAACTAAACTCCAAATAAAGTGGGTTCAATCCACGTTTCTAACAAGTATCTGGGTAACTGAACTTTCTGCTTCACTTCGGTTGTGAAGATCATGAGATGTAGTTTATAATTATTTGGGCAGAGTAAAATAGAGAATTTGGGTAGTTACGTAAAATTAAAGATTAAATAAAAGCAGTATTCTATAACAGAAATATAAATGGGCTATTACCTTCAGTCATTTAGATCAAGGGTTGGCAGGTCTGTGCACCCAATCTGGTCTGCTGTTCTTGTACCTAAAGTTTTATTGGTACATAGCAATACCTACTTGCTATCACCCATGGCTGCTTTCACACTCCAAGGGCAGAGCTGAGTAACACGGCGGGCATCTGAAGGTGGCAGGCACCTCAGGAGGCAGTGTCAGGGAACGTGTCCCTTACCTGGAGGGGTATAGGCATCCATGGAGGTCTGCACGACCAGGGACCTGCGTTTTGAAGGCATAGGCACTGCCATCTTCCGCTCTTTGTGTTTGGCCAGAGCCGCCTGGACAGCTTCTGTGTGGACATCTGAAACAGAGAGAGCTTAGTCACTCAGTGCTCAGCTGAGGTCCCAGAGGCCAAGCTGCCCCCTCTTCTGTTCCTGGAGCACAGTTCATCCACCTTCTCAAACTCACCAACACATGGGTAGGTGAGGAAAGAAAACTGGTGTTTATGATTCCAGTAAAGACATTAAAATTCATTCGCAGACTTTTAATTACTGATTTTATCACTGCAGAATCCATATCTATAAGACAACACTGACTGTAAAGTACGCTGTAATTTTTCTTTTTAGGATGAATGGCCCTTGATCTTTGGAGATCTCTTTGTAGATCACACATTTGAGCCACCAAATCCTTTCACCGTACTGCTGAGGGTTGTGTGCACGCCTCGCACCCTTACTCATGGTCACAGCTCAGCTGGGCACCAGCCACGGGCCAGGACTGTGTTGACTATTGATATGGTTTGGCTGTGTCCCCATCCAAATCTCAACTTGAATTGTATCTCCCAGAATCCCCACATGTTGTGGGAGGGACCTAGGAAGAGATAATTGAAGCATGAGGGCCTTCTTTCCTGTGCTCGTGTTGTGATAGCAAGTAAGTTTCACAAGATCTCATGGGTTTATCGGGGATTCTGCTTTCACCTCTTCCTCATTTTCTATTGCCACCACCATGTAAGAAGTGCCTTTTATCTCCTGTCATGATTCTGAGGCCTCCCCAGCTATGTGGAACTATAAGTCCAATTAAACCTCTTTTTCTTCCCAGTGTTGGGTATGTCTTTATCAGCAGTGTAAAAACAGACTAACATGACCATTAACACGTTTTGTGGCTATTAACCCATTACATTAATTCCACACATTCGCTGAGTGCCTCCTCTGTAAGGTGGTGCCCTAAGAGCTGCGGACACAGTGGTGACAAGGTAGATGTGTCACCACATCTCACATAGGGCACTCCCTAATGGACAAGACAGGGTCCAGGTGACAGATGAAGCAGCAACTCCAAACTGTGAAGCCAGAGAAGAACCCTCTTAATGCAAAATTAAGTAACAGGAATGAATCACACAGGCTACCAATACGAGAATCTTCAAGACACAGGCAAAAACCTGCTCAAGGGCCCTAAACTGTGAGAATGGTGTTGGCAGATAAAAACACCACCAACAAAAATGGTCAGTGTGACTGAAGACGAGTTGGGGGGCAAGGATCCCCAGGATGGGGCAGTCTTCTCTGAAGCTGCAAGGATAATCCCACTGAAAGGGAATCAGACATGTCTTTCCTGCTTAAACCCTCCACACTGCTGCCTCAGACAGGACCCAGATCCTGTCGCATCATACACCCCAATCAGCCCATTACGCTGCTTGGTTGTGGTCATCCTTTGTGTGTACTTTCTTCCTCCCAACTAGATCAAGAGCCTGGTTTTCTGGCTAGTCTTTCTAATTCCCAGGTCAAAAACCAATACATGACTGACTTAGGTTCATGGCTAAAACTTGAAGGGCTCATCAATGAGGTGACACAGTCCATTCACTTCCCAGGGATCACTTTCAGTTTTACATATTCTTTTTAAACTTTTTCGATGTAATTTCAAACATAGAAAATCTGAAGGACCAGCATAGAGAATTCCCATATAACTTTTACCCAGGTTCACCAACTGCTCTTATCTTACACCACTGTTTTCCCTGTCTCTCCCCCATGCATTTGCTAAGTCAAATGAAAAAAAATTTCAATACCATGTCACTCTATACCTAAATGTTTTGATGTGTTCCTCAACACAAGGATATTCTCTCACATAAATTTCCCTCAACGTCAGGAAATTTAACTGTCATAATACTATAGTCTAATCCAAAGTTCACATTCAAATGGTGTCAACTGTCTCCATAATTTTCTTACTTTGTCTTCCTATTTTATGATCCAAACCAGGATCATGAATTGCATTTATTTGTCATGTGATTTTCACCCTCCTTAAATCCAAGTTTCTTGGCTTTTGTGTTTCTTGAAATTGGAAATTTTAAAGAATACAGGCCAGTTATTTTATAGCTTTTCCTTTATTCTGGTGTCTTCTGGATTCGAGAGTGTGCATTTTAGGAGGGACAAGCAGAAGTCTGTCCTGTGTGACAATGTCAACATTGGTCATTCAGTGAAGGTGGGGCTTATTGAGCTCCTCCATAGCAAAGACTCTACTTCTCCCATTGCAATAAAGATGTGAAAGGAGAGACCCTGACGCTATGTGCATATTCTGTTTCTCATCAATGCTTCACTACTGGTTTTAGCATCCATTGATGATTGCCTGTCATTCCTTCTAAATCATTAGATCTACACTCACTTTAAAAATATTCATTTTATCTTTCATCATTCATTTACATGTATCAACATGTTCCATAGAGTCTGACTTGGTGGGTTGAAATTCATAATTATAATGGTTTATTCTGGTGCTCAAACGGCTCCAGATTTGACACCAGATTCCCCAGCCCTGGGATGAGACCCAGCTCCTTCTAGTGAAAAATGGTGTCTGGAATCTAAGACTGGGCACCAGGTGTGCTGCCACTGCGGGTCACTGCTGCTGGACAGTGCTGGCAAGCAAAACACACCACATGTGCACACGCAAGTACACCCATGCCCATCCACAGGCACTTCTGTTACTGCTTATGTCTGCTGGGAGCCACCAGCTCATACTGGTACCTCCTGCTGCAACCCAGTGCTGTACGATCCATTCCAGGCTGTGGCCTTCTCATTTCTACCTCTCTTGCCAAGAAGGAAACCTGGCTCCTGTTAGCCTCAATCTAGTCACTAATTTATTAAGCTTATTTTGCTTAAGCCTGGAGATACAGAATGCTTTTAGAATTGTTATCAATACCACTGTGAAAAATCTATCAAGTAGAGTTCAGTGTTCACTTATAATTATTTTTTCATTGTTTTTGGAAGGGATGGAGTATAAAGTATACATAGTGAGATGTTCAGATCTGAAGTACACTTGATGCATTTTGATAAATGGAAATCAACCTATTACCCCAATAAAGATAAATCGTTCGCCCCGAAGTTCCCACATGCCCCCTCCCGGTCAACCCTGGCCCTCAATAAACAGCCACTGTGCATTCACAGTGAGTGGTCCTTGGCGCTCTTCCATCAATGGAGACTCGTGCAGATTCTGCATCATCATAGCGTGCAGACTCCACGCTATGGTGTTCCCTCTTTACGCAATTCAAGGCTCCTGGAACTCATCCCCACTGCCTGTTTCAGTTTTAGTATTTTGCACATTTTTCCTGATGGGAACTAGGACAATGTACGAATATATAATAATTTGCTCATGTTTCTCCAGCTGAGAGAGATTTGTTCCCAGTTTTTGGCTGTGACAATTTACTCTTAAGATAACATACATTCTTTTACATGGACACACATTTTCATTTCTCCTTGGTGAACGTCTAAAGTGTAACTGCTGGGCCATATGGTAAGTGTACACATTTTAAAGAAAACTTCCAAACTATTTGCTAAAGTGGCTGTAACATTTTGAGTCCCCATCAGTGTGAGATCCAACCTGTCACATCTTCACCAGCACCTGCTACTGCACTTCTTTCCCACTCCTGTGAAGTGGAACCTTGTGGGTTTAAGTTGTACTTACCTGACGACCCCTGGCGGGCACCTTTCACAAGCTATCTAGTCACTTGCAGATTCCCTTACATGTTCTCAATAAGCCCCTGAGTCTTCTGTAAATCAAGTGTCTCACCAATTCCAAGTCTTCGTGCCTCTGAGCTCTCCTGACTCGCTTGACTGACAAGGACCCCAGTAAGTGCCACATGGACTAGAGCCATGGAAAATGGCCGTGTTCCGGTACACACCCGACTGTGTGCAGAGCAGCCAGGCTGCCACCACCGAGGAGGGTGACGGTCAGCTCTCATTTTTCAGGAATGGCCTTTATCAAATAGAGCCATTTCCCTTCTGTTCCTGATTTAATAGGAAATCTGTATAAGGACTATTAAATTTCATCAGATGTTTTTCAGCATCTGAGATGACAAAATGGGTTGTGTCGCCTTCATTTTTTGTTAATTATATCGATTTTTGAATGATGAGCCAAGTGTGCAATGCAAAACTATGCCACATCATGGGAACAAACTCCAATTGGTTGTGGTGTTCTTATCCCTTTTACATTTTTCTGGGGCTGATTTAGTAATAATTTGTTAAAAGCTTTTGCATCTGTATGTCAGGAAAAGGGGAAGCTATAAGATTTTGCCTTGCATGCCGGCTAACAAGGCAGCCAGTACCAGCCCAATGTGAGCCAGGACATTCCTGGGCCAGGAAAAAAGGGCTTTTCACACACCGTGGCAGCAGGATCCATTCACCCCTGCTGATACTCAGTGACATCCTGGCCACTTAAAGGACTTTCGAGCTCATCTTGTGTAAGAAAAGTCAACTTCTTCACCTCCCTATACAAAGGCAAGATGTTATTTAGACAAAACAAAATTAACGATCATGTAAAGAAATGCTTACATTTTTCTCTTCTGAGAAAATTTGTTTTTAGCAACCATGGCTTTCAAAGCATGCCCTTATATATTACACATGATATTGCTTATCACCAAAGTCACAGTGCTTTCCTACTTTCAAAGAATTTATCCAGAGTCCTGAAAAGTGAGTATTTTAAATAGAAAAGCATATGTGGCTTTCCTCTGGTTAAGGAGTAAGCCAAATTTTGTGAAATACGTGATTTTTCTAATTAGAAAATCTGAGAACAAGACATCATTGTGAGATCCTGTTATCTCTAGGGAGGAGTGAAATGGGTGTTAGAAACTGAGGGAGCTTTGGAACAGGAATCTCATGGCCTTAAATGGGGAGTCCGGCAAATGGGAAAACAGTTGTTCTGATTTATGGACATTTCTGAAAGCTTCAAGTCCACTCCGTGTTGCATTCTGAATGACTTCTTGTGATGTGGACCCAACAGAAGAGAGGTCACACGTAGTAGTTCAGCACTTGCCAGGGTGTGGCACCATGCTCACCTCTACAGAGTAAAGATGTTTATGTAAACATTACAATGGTTCAACTGTATAAA